AAATATAGTAACCCTTTCAATCACTAATTCTTCACAGTCCCTTTCCATATGTCTTTCCTTGACATCTGAAACACAATAAATTTTAAAAACATGGTCACCAATTGGATCTGAATATGGAGGATGCCAAAAGTGTAGACTCTAAAGCCTCTCAAAGGGATTTTCCAGATGGCAAGATGGTAACAGCTTTAGGATTAAAAAAGTAAACTTAAGTGCAATTTTTCACTGTGCCAGACTCAACAAATGCCCTATTAGTGTGTTAGCCACACTGAGGAGACATTGAGGCCAGATGAACAATGGATGATTTGAAAACACAAATATTAACGAAAGTATGAATAGCAAATTTGATTATAGGTAAATACCTGTATCTTATTGATAAACAAAAGCTATGTAACCATATAAAAGCCACTTGGGAAGAAGAGACACTGCAGAGAACCTAGAAATAACAGAATTTTTACTAACTTTATTGTTTCCCCAAACCCAGCATTCTCTGCTACCTAACCAGTTTTCTTATTTATTCATTGATTTCTCACATGTTTATTGCATGTCTCTAGTGGTTTGTGATCTCGGGATTTAAAAACAACAGAAAAATATCAAAAAATACAATATGAGAAATATATTTGTTATTTGTTCAACTGTTTATTCAGCACATATTTCATGCATATCTATTTTGTACCAGACACTGTACTCGACCCAATGTCAAATGAAACAAATATGGCCCAAGTCCTATAGCCTAATGTAAGACACTCCCATTAATTAGTTCTGACTCTGATCATTTAGTTGGGGACAAAAGTAGAACGAATCGCTGACTTCCATAGGGATCTGTCATCTTGGGTTACACAATTTTTTCCTTTTTTTTTTTCTTTTTGAGTTAGAGTTCACTCTGTCACCCAGGCTGGAGTGCAGTGGCACACTCACTGGCACCCCAGAGTCGACCTGCTGGGCTCCGGCAATCCTTCTGCCTCAGCCTTCCAAGTAGCTGAAACTACAGGCACGTGCTACTGTGCCTGACTAATTTTTGATTCATTGTAGAGATGAGGTATTGCCAAGTTGCCCGGGCTGGTCTTGAACCCGTGTGCTCAGGCATTCCACTCGCTTCAGCTTCCCAATATGTTGGGATTATAGGCTGAGCCACTGAACCCAACCTTTTTTTTTTTTTTTCCTATTTGAAAAGAGAAATAAACAGAGTAGAGCATCTCCCAGCTGTGATTTGAGTCCCCTAAGACTCTTAGGGCACTCTGGCCCTAATTATAGCTAGAAGAGGTGACTTCAGTTCCATGAAAGAGGAAGCAAAAGAGAAAGAAGAAGAAATTGGGCATCCAATGAGACCAACAAATTATAGAAAAACATGAGCCAACACATTTCTGATCCCAGATTTTTTAAAAAGTGAATGATGGATTGGGTTTCTCCCACCCCACCCCACCACTGCAAAGCCACATGAGAAACATTTCTAATAGGACACCAAGAAACAGTTTCCCAGAGAGGGAGGCTGGGGGCTGAGTGTCCTGTCTCACAGATCATCCAAATGCCAGGAGATAATTACTGTAGTGTGGATGGTGTTCATTCACCATAGCCGCCAAGTCTGCCTCCTCCGAGAGAGAAGTGGAGAAGTGGTACCAGCCCAAGTTACTCCTCCAATTCTTTGTGATCATGTAAATGTCAATGTTCATTTTTATTAGAAAGTGTCTTTTCAGGCTGGGTGCTGGCTCAAGCCTGTAATCCCAGCACTTTGGGAGACCAAGGCGAGAGGATTGCCTGAGCCCACGGGTTCGAGAACAGCCTGGGCAACTTGCTGAAAGCTCATTTCTACAGTAAATCAAAAAAATTAGCTGGGCGTGGTGACATGCTCCTGTAGTTCCAGCTACTTGGAAGGCTGAGGTGGAAGATTGCCTAAGCCCAGCAGGTAGGGGCTGTGGGGGCCAGGAGCATGCGTGCCACCACACTCCAGTCTGGGCAACAGAGTGAGACTCCAACTCAAAAGAAAAAAGGAAAAGAAAGTGTCTTTTCACCTGGGATGGAGGGCAAAGCTTGCCTGTTTCAAGTCCCAGTTTAGGCCACCCTATTGAAAACAAGTCATATTTTTTAAGCACTTAAGAAAGGCCTCTATTTTTAAAAACTGACTTGAAATCTTTCTCCTCTTGTGTTTAAATAATCATCAACAGGATTTTTTTTTTTTAAATTTTGTTTTTCCAGCTCTCCTCTTCGAGCCCACTTAATTTTAACTCTGTTTTGTCTAAAACTTATCAAGTGGTGATTTGCTAAGATGGAGCATGTGACAACCAAGATTAGAAAGCTTTTTTGGCCTCCAAGTGCCTTCTTCTTTCACATGCTATTTTATAATTCAAATACTCTTAGAATTAACTTAATTCAACTCTCAGAATCTTGGTCACAGACTCCATTTTGCTTTTCCTTCTCTCCAAATAAAGATCTCTTTAGGAAATTGCCTCTGTTTAGCTTTGGTTTTTTGAAACATCCATCAAAAGGGGAAAGGGATTGAGTTAATGAGTGCTTGATTTTTATTTGTTTTCTAGGCACTTTGACTCACACTTTTTAAAAATGTTCTTTTCTCTGACACTTTCCTTACTTGGAAACTACCAGCCTGAATCCTGCTCCACTGAAACACTTTCTCCAGTTATAGTCTTCCTAGCCTGTGGGGTTTATGTTTCTGTTTAAGGCACCTATATTTCTTTGAGAAAAGTTTGGGAAAGCAGAAAGAGAAAAAAAAAATAAGTGATTAGTATTGTAAGTAGCACTGTATCTGAGAAAACTTACCAAATGTTTGTGGAAGACAATGAAAGGGTACAAAAGCAAAGGATTAGAGATTGAATATTCCTTATCCAAAATGCTTGGGACCAGAAGTGTTTGATTTTGGATTTTTTCAGATTTTGAAATGTTTGCATTATATTTACCTGTTGAGTATCCCAAATCCTAAAATCTGAAGTGCTCCAAGGAGCATTTCCTTTGAGCATCATGTCAGGGCTCAAAAATTTTCAGATTTTGGGACTTTTTGGATTTGGGAGCTAAACCTGTGATAGATTTCTTTTTCCCCTACTATCTCACAGTGGACTCTGTTTTCCTACCTGGCATGTCTCTTTCCCAGCTTTGCTTCACCCTGCTACAGGCCTTTTTCCATTCTGTACTCTCTTCATGAACATACTTCCTTCGGCCTGCCATCGACAGAGCTCAAGTCTTAACTCTTATATTTAACTTTATCCACTCCTCCCAGACCAACTCATCTTCTCCTTTTCTAAACCCTGATATGCATATGTGTTAGTACCTCCTTAGTTCCTAGTTGAAATTTGCAAAGTTTCTGGAAAACCTATGAGGGCCTATGATTTTTTTAAAAAGAGAATTACTATACAGTGATGAATTTCACTCTTCATTTCTTAGGAAGCACTACCAGTTTCTTAGGTATTAGACATGGCCTGATGAGTAAACTAGTCTAAAAATATGCATGCGCTTCATTCCAAAGAATTCGGTCCTGGAGAGTACAAGGTGCAACAGATGGTAACTGCACCAGGAACAGCCACCCCATCTCAGCCCCTCCCCTGAGCCCAGTCTTTCTGAGCACACCCAGTCATTTTGGTCAGTGCCTTGCTTCACCATTACTTCTTCGGATTCTGTTTTTTATATCCCTGGAATAACACTAGTGACAGTGTAATACTCTTTTGCAGGATCAGCCTCTTATATTCCCACAAAGATTAGTCGAAACTGAGATTTGTTGTGAGGAGTGTTAGACCAGCTATTAAGTCTGTCCTCACCCTCCATTAATGCAGTCTGCTGAGAGCATTCAGTGCTTTAGGAGCTGGATACTTGAAAACAGTTTCATATGTTGTTGTCTGGCCCCTCTCTCCATGAGACAGTGCCCTTTAGTGTTTTAGATGGAGAGGCAAACTTCTTTCTAGTCCAGCAACTCATCTATTTTATAGAAACTGTGATATAAATAAAATTCAATCTTGACCACCTCTGTACCTTCACCCACCATCCCCTGCAGAATGCTCCTGGGGACAAGGACACATATTGGCTCCAAGAATGTAGTCAATTGAGAATTCACGGAAGAGCTAAGAGGTGCTTCTGTGGCTGTAAGAGTATTATCTTCATTTATGTAATCTTGAATGTGTCACTTGTTTTTGTGGGTAACAGTCATAGTCAAGACCAAAGATAATCAGAACAGGTGTTTTTAAAATGAACTTCCTGCATGTCTTTGCCAAAACTCTTTGAGTATGAGATCATGTGCAATGAGCAGTCTTACTGCTTTCGATGTATCGGTGGGGAGGATATGCCTGTCATGGCTCTGGGAGTTTTGATTATCTAATTTTAAGCTTGTTTTATTAATGTGAAAATATAGGCAGACAGTTTTTCTCGCTATACTCAGATTCACAGATTTCCAATCAAAGCAGAACTATTAAGTTACCTCTCTTCTAAAAAGCAGACCTACTATAGAGTTGCAGTTTTACAAGGTGAAAAGAGTTAAGGAGATGGATGGTGGAGATGACTGCAAAATATTATGAATGTATTTAATATCACTGAACAGTATACTAACTTTTAAGTACCACTTATAAGCAATTAACATGGCAAATTTCAAGTTGGTGTACTTTACCAGAATAAAAATAATGACGTTTTTTAAATTAAAAAATAAATAAAAAGACAAATAAAAACAGCCACAAAAAGATTTTGTTTCTTCCTTCTATCACCAAGTGTGCTGCTTCACATATAACAAGTGTTCAAAAAAGTGTTCTATGTAAGTAAATAAATGAGTGCCTACAGTGGTTTCAATAAGCTTGTTTTATGTGTGCAGAAGGACTGTTGAATATTTTGAACTGAGTAATGGGCAGAAGTTGTGTTAGCTTTCCTTTCCTAGCATCCTGGTGACTGATTACTTCAAATAATGAATACCACACTTCAGGAATAAGATTGTCAAACAGATAGAACTGAATGCCCATTCTCTTTCCAAGATATTTGCAAACAACAGTCCTCTGTCTCTTGGTTTTCCTGCTTCTTAGATGCTCAGCCTACAGAAGGAGAAAGAGAAATCTGGAACCAAATCAGTGCCGTCCTTCAGGATTCTGAGAGCATCCTCGCAGACCTGCAGGCCTACAAAGGCGCGGGACCAGAGATCCGAGATGTATGCCAATGATAATACTAAACCAACTGCATGCTGGGAGGAGGCAAGAAAACCACATACACACATGCACACACACAGGCACATACACAGTAAGATTAAGTAACAACCCTAGTGTTTCCTAAAGTACTGGGAAGAACAGGAAGGGTAGTGTATCCTTTTAGAAATGTATGAATGTCCTCTTTTAATCCAGTACATTAATCTGAGCACACAGTGCTATAGATCTTGTAAAATATTATCCATTCTTTCTCAGACATAACATTTGATATTGCAGGACTCACATTAAACAATAATGTGTCATCATATTACTTCATTTAAAAGAAACATATATATAAAGTTTATGGACAACAGTTGAAATATGAATCATGAAGTCTGGGTTGACATGTACTTTCTAACATTTAGTAATGATTTTGGCAGGTTCCACCAGTGTCACACACAACAGCCAAAGACCACTTCACTTTCTAAAGACCGTCAGATTAAATGTCTTATGAGATTAAAAAGAATTAATGGAAAACAAAACAACAACCAAAACAAAAAAGAAAATAATCAATTTGGCTATTGAAACTTCGCAATGTATTAAAAGCAAGGAACTTCACATGCCTTTTATTTAAAAGCATTACTTTTGTGGCTATATCAACACACACACACACACACACACACACACACACACACACACACCCTACTGCCACTGCCCCTGCCCCATCCTTTTGAAAAGAACATCACTACCATCATAATCCTCAAACTGCTGAAACACAGACAAGACAGCATTTCTAAGAAAGTAATAGTCTATGAAGAGGTTGTTTTTCTACTTAGAGGTCATTGTTTAATTTGGGTAACATTACAAACTGGCAGAAATTAATATACGTTATAGAGAAAGGAAAATATCTACAGAATTTGTACTTATAATGAGCACTAACTGCTTTAGAATCAAACGATGATGGGCAGGGCTGGGTTTCTCCCATGTTAGGTGTGCGCTTTTTAAACATTCAAGATAACAAACAAGTAAGATGACTCAAGATCTAATTTTAAAGCCATTTGCTTTGTATTCAAGTGCTAAAATTTCCACTCAAAATGAGAATCTTGTGGGACAGTTCAATGATCTGATGTTGATTTAAGTAGTATGTATTAGCTAATTACAGCGGGGATTGTGTTTTTTAACAAACATTTTTTCTCAATCTTAAGGCATTTTGATGTGGAACCTATTGCTTTTTTTTGAAGAGACAGTTCTACCATGTTTTTTGTAGGCAATTCAAAACCCCAATGACATTCACCTTCAAGAAAAAGCTTGGAATGCGGTGTGCCCTCTAGTTGTGAGGCTAAAGAGATTTTACGAGTTTTCCATAAGACTAGGTGAGTATGTATTTAGAGTTTTCATGTCCCACATGTGAAGTTCTGTTTTGGTGTTTGAGAAGGTATTGGGAAGAGTGTGGCATTTGGAAAATGCCCCACATCCATGTTCTCTGCCTTGGAGAGGCCATTCATGAACAATTCTTGTCATTTTCATTTCTTTCAATCTACCCCAACGTTTCTTCCCCTAAAATTATTGGCACATTTAGAGTGTCTCTACTAGTGGGTATCTTTTTGGGTTCTGTTCTCATCTATGTCTAAATCTTTATAGTTTTATTATAAACTAATCACATTTCTGAATAACAGAGAAGCTGGAAGATACAAGTTACCTACCTATTAACCCAGAAAGAACTTGCTTGACTGGACTCATACGATAAATTCAACATAGAAAAATACAAGAAAAACAAACATAATGTTCTTTCTTTAAGTTTAAAAAAATAATCAAAATTGTGCAAGTACAGGATGACTTTGTAGAAGCAAGAGTAATGCCAAGCCTTGCTGGCTGTAGGCTCACTGTGTCCAGCAATGTGATATAACCACTGTCCTAGCAGTAAAGCTAGAGAATGTTTGATGAGATAATATAGTGTATGTAGGATGGAGAAGGCAGTAGTCTTGTTCTGCTCTACTTTTGCTGTAAAACAAATGCCACCGTTAAGAGAAAAACAGGAACTGAAAGACATTGGGGGAATAATGACCTTGAAATTGAGAAGACCAGAAGCTAAGACCAAGGGAAGTAGTTGAATGAACCAAACCAGTTTTATAAGAAGAGATGGCTTCTGAAGACTCTCAGATAGAAGAGGGATCAACTTCTCTCTCTGCTTCCTCAAAGGCTATTTCTAGGTCCAATTCACTGAAATCCTAAGGAGCCAAATTTTGACTCAACAGAAGGAAAAAACACCCATCAGTCAGAACAGGCCAAGGTAGAACTGACTGTCTCCAAGGACCGAGTGTTTCATAGATGGAAATATTTTAAAAGGCTAGAGGCATTCTTTATAAAGATGCTGTAAAAGACATAAGAACCATATAGAGCAGATGTCAGCAAATTTTTATTAAAGTGCCAGTTAGTAAATATTTTAGAATTTATGGTCTGTTCCTGTCTTTTTTGCAACTGTTTTCAACTCTGCCATCATAGCACAAAAATGACCCTAGTCAATACACAATGAGAATGTCTATGTTTTAATAAAACTTCATTTGCAAAAACAAGTGATGAGCCAGATTTGGCCTATGGGCCACAGTTTGCCAACACCTGCTATAGAAGATTAGTTAAATGACTCCATGCTGTTAGAAATTTACTGAAGAGGCCAGGCCAAGGTGAGAGGATTGCCTGAGCCCACGGGTTCAAGAACAGCCTAGGCAACTTGGTGAGACCTCATCTCTATAATAAATCAAAAAATTATCCAGGTGTGGTAGTACATGCCTGTAGTTCTGGCTACTTGGAAGACTGAGGTGGAAGGATCACCTGAGCCCAGCAGGACGATGCTGGGATCGCTGTGAGCATGCCGCTGCACTCCAGCCTGGGTGGCGGAGTGAGACTCCAACTCAAAAAAAAAAAAAAGAAAAGAAAAGACATTGACTTGCATAGAAAGCTCTTCAGAGTAGTGAGACTATTGCAAGAACAATAATGGAGGTAAATATGGCAATGGGTTTGTAGAAAAATATTCCTAGAATTAGGTTAGACTGTAGATGTAGAGCAAAGCTAATTGGGACCAGAAGTCTTTCTCCGCAAAAGCAGGTAATGTGGCCCATGTGTTTAGGGCTGCCATCTCCTCTCATCCTGCAACCTGAATGGCTGTCTTGTGCACATGACCCACAACCACATACTTGTGGTTTTCTAATAGTGTCAGGAATTGGGACTACTAAATATGTGAGGGTTCAGCTGAATTTACAGAGATATTTACAAACATGGTGGCCACGGGAAGTTTCTGCAGGGGAGGCAACCTGCTCTGGCATGTGGAATTCTTCCTCTTCCTCATCCACATGCAGCACAAGTCTTACAGTTGTCGGGAAGACTCAAGTAGGTTACTTCTGAGATTGTTAATTGAGGCTGATAATTGTGCTTTTTGAAGGATCTCAGTGGGCCACCTCCAGTTTATCTATACGTCCTCTTGACTTGCAGAAAAAGCTCTTCAGAGTTTATTGGAATCTTTGACCTGTCCGCCCTACACACCAACCCAACACCTGGAAAGGGAGCAGGCCCTGGCAAAGGAGTTTGCGGAAATTTTACATTTCACCCTTCGATTTGACGAATTAAAGGTTAGGCCACATGTGCTATGGAAATTTAACACACTTTTGCTGAGTACCTACTGTTTACAGCTACTCTGTTAGTGCTGTGGGGTGGGTGGATAGAGAAATGAGTAAGATGTTGTTTCTTCCCCAGAGAGACATATAATGTGGTGAGAATTTGCATTCCATGTGGTAAAAGTAATTTAAGATGATGATTTGTATATGGAAATTTAAAATCTGCCAAATGAAATCAGAGAAAACCTTTTCAAGTGTCTGTTCCTCATTGAGAATAAATATACTTTCCCTGAAATCTAGCCCACATTAAAAAAAAAAAAAGAGGCATATTTTAAAATGATGAAGCTTTGGGTCCTTATTTTTAACCAGAAGTTGCTTTGACTTTTGTACAACAAAGAGAAGTCCTGGCATATTTAGAAAATCTAGTGTCTGGGCTCCTAATGCATATCCTCCATCTGATGCTGAGACGTGACCTTCTTTACTCTCTTCTGAATTTCAGATGAGGAACCCGGCTATTCAGAATGACTTCAGCTACTACAGAAGAACAATAAGTCGCAATCGCATCAACAACATGCACGTGAGTCCCTGGGCCACCTTGACCTTTGCACCTTTCTTTGTGGCTGTCTTCATTTCTGCATCAGGCAGAACATGGAGAGAAGACAGCATCCTTGTTCATAATTCAATTTTCCAAGGAGAGTATTTGGGGATTTTGACTTTCTCTTTATAATTGCATCTTCTCTTATTTTATCAGCTAGACATTGAGAATGAAGTCAATAATGAGATGGCCAATCGAATGTCTCTCTTCTATGCAGAAGCCACACCCATGCTGAAAACCCTTAGCAATGCCACAATGCACTTTGTCTCTGAAGTAAGTGAAGTTGAGCAACAAAGTACTTCTTAATTGCACATAGAGCTGCTATCAGGGCTAACATGCACTTGTGTCTCCCATTTAGAACAAAACCCTGCCAATAGAGAATACCACAGACTGCCTCAGTACGATGACAAGTGTCTGTAAAGTCATGCTGGAAACTCCGTAAGTTAAACCAGAAGTGTATTCATGGTTGAGTGTACACCAAACCAGGGTCTGTTAAGATGATGATGATGATGATCATGAAGAAGGCGTTTACCACTTGGGTCAACACACTAAAGTTTACGTGTATATTATGTGCTTTAATTTCATTAAAAAAAAAACACCTCTGAGGGGTAGGTGCCAGTACCTCCATTTTTATAACTGAAGAAGCTGAGGCTGAAACTGGTTGATTGACCTCCCAAAGATTGTGTAGCTTATTAGATGACAAAACCAAGACTCAAATGAAAGATGCTGTAGAAGATGTGTAATAACCAATTAGAGGGGTGTGTTAAATGACAGAATATCATTGTAAATATGAGGGGAGGACCCCCAAAAATCTTGAATTTTCTTTTGGAAGGTGATCCCCTTTTAGGAAAAAAGGACTTTTTCCTTTGGATCAGTCAACCAAAGATTTATCTGGAAGTTTTGATAAGGTTGCGTCACAATTTGTGGAAGAAATGTCCCGAGTTGTGGCAAATGGATGAATGGTTCTTCACCATGACAACGCGCCTGCCCACACTATGCTGGAGTGTTCAGCAGTTTTTGATCTACCCTCCCTATTCACCCAATCTCGCCCCAAATGACTTTTTGTGTTTCCCTGGATGAAAAAATCCCTCAGAGGGAAATGTTTCTCTGGTGTGGAAGAGGTGAAACGTAATACAACAGAAACACTAAAAGGCATCAAAATTATGAGTTCAAAAAACTGTTTTGAGCAATGGAAAAAGCACCTTGATAGGTGTATTGCATCAAATGGAAATAACTTTGAAGATGACTGAAGTTTAAACATGTAAGAATAAATAAATTTTTTATAAATAAATTCCAGGTGTTTTAGTCCCCCCCTCATATATTGTAGAGAAGATTTGAGAAAGGGTTTAGAATCAAAACTAGAAGTGGTAAGACTGTTTCAAGAGTAATAATAGAGATCTATCTCCCTCTCCCTGTCCCTTTCTGTCTCTGAAGTTTTTTTGTATACCTGACCGAGTTATTAGTTGCTAGACTTATAAATGGTTGAGAATACTGAAGATGAAGCAGCGTGGTAATGGAAAAATCTGTACTCAGACATCTGAGTTCCACTTATGTCTGTAGTCCCTACTGTGCCTATAAATAACTGGTCTGACCTCCCTGAGCCTTGGTTTCCTCATCTAATCAAGTTCCCATAATGCCATGTACTTTTCAGAATGCTTGGGAAGACCAAAGGCATCAAGAGTGCCTTACAAAATTTGATGCTCTGTTCAAAAGTAAGATGGCATTAGTTTCAAATATTTTACTTATACCAAAGTTAAGATTTATTCCAAGAGAGAAATAGTAATCATCTTCATTGTGGAGTTTATTCATAAAGAGATAGATGCTAAGAAAGACTCTAGAATTGGCCTGAATTATCTGAATCATCAGGGACCCTGTCAAGGTAAGTGAACAAAATTTAAACTCTACAAATACTTTCAGCTCAGTGAATGATACATAATTTTTTTAAAGCTGTCTTTGACAATCCAATTCAATCTACAGCCTGTGTTTTAACAAAGGAAGTTACTCCGACTAGAGACATGATAGCTGCTCTGTAGAAATGAGCCTGATTCTTTTTCTCTGTAATGAAGCCATTACTCTCTATAATCTTGGACAGCCAGAGGGACCTGCAATAAAATATTCAAGATTGATGGGTGGGGGAGTGATATACTTGATGAGCTGGCCCACTGAAGGGCAGAAGAGAAGGGATTTACTGCCCTTTAATTTACCGTATTTTCACACTGAATTGCTGGTTGTTGAATAAATTCAAGGAGAATTATCATGAGTTTCTTCAAGAGCATATTAACCAGTTGTTCAGGTCTGGGATTGTTTTCAAGAGGATTGGAGGCGTTTAAGTAGCCAGTTGTAGAACCAAAATGTATGTGCTCTGACAAGGAAATGACACCGCTGCCATTTCTTCTCTCTTCCAGGGAGTACAGGAGTAGGTTTACAAGTGAAGAAACACTGATGTTCTGCATGAGGGTGATGGTGGGGGTCATCATCCTCTATGACCACGTGCACCCTGTGGGAGCTTTCTGCAAGACGTCCAAGATCGATGTAAGAATAGCTGTAAAATGTGCTTTCCATATAAGAGCACACAAATGTGGCCAAACACTCCTTGCTTCTCTTCCTCTGGCCTCTATCCCCAACTGAGAGTGATCTTTCCAAGATGCAAAACCCATCATGGTAGCTCTTCTCAGAGCAAGATGTCCAGGCTTTTTCATGTGCTTAGGACAAAATATCCAACCTCAAATGCTTTTAGTGGAGCTGAGCAGATGAACAATCACTTTGCTGCAAGCTGCCCCTTTAGTTGCCCAGTGTGCCATACACATAGATGGATTCTATTTTATATGTGTCTAATGTGAAAAGAGTTGGAAGGTACTGGATTAATCCCAAATGACCTTCTAGCTTCCCCTCCTATCATGTCTTACCTGTTACTCCACCCAATTTCCATGCCTTTCCTTGCCATTTGTACATAGGTGAGCCCTTTCCCCTGCCCAGAGCACGCTTCCTCTTTTTCTCTGATTGGTGAATTCCTTTCAGACATTCTTCAAATGCCATACCGTCTAGGAACACTTTCCTGCATGTGTCACTCCTTCTTGCTCCCCTGGTCCCCAGAGCACTTCGCATTTTGTACTTTCTTCCTCCTTTACAGACTGCTTTATGGACAGAGTCTATGATACACACAGCTACTATCTATCCTACCGCCTAGTCCAGGACCAACGCATGGCATGCTCAACACATACTCTGTAGAGTTGTTGCTGAATGAAGCAATGAAATGAATGAAGATAATTGGAAAACACATGATTTTGTTGTGCAGATGCTTTCCTGTTGATGTGGGATACAGCACACCTCCTCTTAACCCAGCATTTACCTGCAGCCTCAAATCAATAGCGCAACCCATGTACTCATTTAAAGCCTTTTAAGTGCAGAATAGAACCTCCTGGTACTAACCTATTCTGACATGGCTAATTCTAGATAGCTCTCTGTGTTCACTCATCTGCACAGAACAATGTCCTAATGCTCTAGCCCTGTGCAAGAGAAAGTCTGCGTGCCTGGGGTGGGGTGGGGGGTGGGGTGGGAATAAATCTGAAGAATACAAGAAAATTTATCAACAAACAATATAATTCAGATTACTCACTTTGGGGTTCTGGGTTCCTAGCATAGTTAGGCATGGTTCTTCATGGAATCTTTATGATTTTTTAAGTAATTATTTCTATTTACCAAGAAAAGAAATATTTTAAAATTTTTTGACATGTAGGAAATCAAATTATAGACAATGAAATGTATCTGTAATAACCTCGCCACAAAGGACCACTGTTAATTCATCAGCATAAGTGTGTACTTTCTTTTTGTGTAGATGCTTGTGTGATGTGTGTGTGGATGAATTTAACAAATTAGGACACTGCTATACATGCTATCTTGAAACGTTTTTCATTTGCATAACAGTATATTATGGGCATTTTTATACCAATAAATATTTTTATTGTATTATTTGTGAGGCTTTAATATTTTCATACTGTAGATTGGGTATGAATAACTCTATGAATAACTCTATAAATATCATTTGAATATGGATTCAGTTTATTACCTGGTACTCATATGACACTCTTATTTACCATAGTCATTTGTTAACTTGTCATAGATTCAACAATTAAAAATTGCACTGGGTTCAATTATGCCTTGTAGTCCTAACCTTTAAAAAGCTTGACTTTACATATAATTTACCGAGTCTTTCTGTTGAGATTGTAAATAGTGTATTGTGTTAAATATTTGCAAATAGTCTTGATGAAGTCTATTTTCATTCACACAGGTTGCACTAAGAATGTTCTGTTCATATTGAAGTTAGCAACTTAGGTTGTTCATATTGAACAAACTAATAAAGGCTTGTTCATATTGAGACTCTAAGAAAGTTTCAGGTTTACCAAGCATAGAATATATTTGAGACAGGCTTATTTTATTTTATATATATTTTTTTGATGACATAGACTCCCTCTACATCCTAATTTGCTTTCAAGTCAGTGGTTATAACGAATGGGTTTATAAATCTTTAGGGTGTTCGCATCAACTGTGAAAACACGAGTATCTATTTGTGAGGCCCTGGAAGAGGCACTGTACTTGCACATCTGAAGGGCATGCCTTGGAGTGCAGAAAAGATGTATATTGAGCTCTGGAAACCCAAGGCGGGAGAAACTCATTCTGCTGAAGAGTAGAAACACAGGGTGATGTTTGAAGTGGTCCTTGAAGAAGGTATAGGATTTTCCCAAAGGGAAAGAGGGAAGGAAAAATATTCCAGGAAGAGGGAATCATTAAAGCACTCACCAAGGCCCCAAGGGTATGAGCCATTTAGAGAATAGAAGTTAACCTTGGTGCCAGGAAAAACATGATAGGGTGAGAAGGTGTTTTCAAATTAATTCCATAGAAACTCATGAAATGTCCCAATAAGGTGTTACTCTTTAACCCCTTTTATCATCCTGGACTTTACCCAGACCCCACTTCCTATGGACACCTGAAATATGGCCCACCCCAAACTAAAGTTTCTCCCTTCCCTGCAAACCTGTTCCTCCTTCTGGGCTCCTGTCTCAGGTTTTTCACCCTCCTCCAACTAATTTCTAAGCCAGAGCCTAGAGCTGTCCCTGGGAATCTAGAACCGTTTTCTTCACCCCCATACCTTAGTCACCAAGTTCTATGGAGTTGACCTTAGATCAGCTCTTCCTGCTTTTTGATGCCTGCTGCTCCTCCCCCAATTCACAACCTCAAGGGCTTTCCCTGACCCTCCTCTTTCCATTCTTGTTTCCTTCTTGTCCCTTTCCGTAATGGCCACATCACTAAACTGTTTAACACTTAGCAATGTTATTTTTCTACAGGTAAAAGCCCCCAACTCCCCAACAAGCTATTAAATCCACACTGAATCTGGTCCTAAGTGCATCCTTGATGGCATCTTTTTATTTTCGCCCACAGCTTTAATCATCCTGAAATGAAACTAGAAATTCCCAGACAGAACCAACTGCTCTCTACCCCCTTTCATATCTATGCCCTTCCTGCCCCATGGGCATGGTTTGCAAATCACTTATCACACTATGACAATAAACTATAGGAGAGGGACAAATCCTCTGCATCCCTGGGCCTGATGCCATCCCAGGCCTGGGGTGACACAAAGCAGGTATGCCTGTGGCCTCTCCTACTCCTGTACCCATGACAGACATCTCTAATCAGCCATGACATTCTTTCTTGATGAGCCTATAATGACACCCAAAAGATTCTCAACACTGTTCCTTGACTTCCTCCATCAATCTATCAGGGTCTATCAGACCTTTAAGATAAAATCTTTTGACATACCAGAAGTATACTCACAGAAAATGTTTTTGAGCAACCATTATAAAAAGTAACCTCATCTTAGCATGTTCAAATCTAATACATATAGCGCCCGAACAGCTGAGTTTAAAATGAGTCATTGTCTTCTTTGCAGAAAGATTCTTACTTTGCCAAAAGACACTCCAGGATATGCATCATATAATGTGATCTATATAAAGTTAGTTTTTATACACAGCCCAAATTATGAGTCAGTTTTGTTCCAAGGGCACAAAAAACTAAGACATTTGCGTAGATTCATGCAGATACTACACAAGCAAGCATGGATGAAATCCAGGCACTGGGCCCCATGAGGTTCACATTTTTAACAATTGTCCTTTTCCAGTCCTTGAAAGATGGTTAAGACAGACCTACATCGCCAGGAGTTCTGGGTCTAGTGAGAGAGACAAATTAATCTGGCCATTAAAATCTCCAATGTTCTCTGATTAATGCCAAAGTCGCACTGGTAACACAAAGAGGTGGTGGTGTTTACTTCCGTTTTGTGAGAGTTGTCAGATCAGAAGAGACTTCCTGGAATTGTTCTACTTCAGCTGGGTCCTAAAATAATTGTTAAGGGCTTGCCAATCAAACAGCTAAAGGAGAGAAAGCATTCTGGGCAGCAGGATGGCATAAAGTTATTGGATTTCCATTCAGTAAATCTCAGCTGAGCATCAAGTAAAGAGAAGCCCCCAGTACTTGGCTCCAGAGTACAAGACCAAAAAATTAATTTCTCAAGTCTTTGTCCCTAAATGTCAGGCAAGTAAAATGTACAAGAGCAGTATAGTATGAAAACTGGCAATAATTATAATCATACAGAACCTTCTAGAAGACCAGAGCAGTAACTCACCAGCCTGCAGAGGTAGTGAAGACAGTTGATCATTTTCGTGTTGGATTTCAATGGGCAGAAATGATGTGATATTGTTATTGATAGGTGTTGTTATGGATGGATATTAGCATGGACAGTATTACTAAGATATTAACAGAACATTGCGCTTTTTCCTCCTAGATGAAAGGCTGCATAAAGGTTTTGAAGGAACAGGCCCCGGACAGTGTGGAGGGACTGCTGAATGCCCTCAGGTGAGCTTCAACTCTGTTTCACTCACATGGGGCAGCCAACACTTCAGGGCTGTTGCGAATTTAAATACTGCTGGGGAATCAATGGGGAGAGCACCAAGCTTAACCCCTTGCATGTTTTAACAAATTGACTCTCTCCAGCAACCTATTGAGGTCAGCATCATTTTTATCTTCCCCTTTGTACAGATGGAAAAAATTGAGATTTAGAAAAGTTTTAATAACTTGCCAAAAATAATATAGTAAATGGCCAAGCTAGGACCTAAACCAGGGTCTCAGTGACTCTATAGGTCACAGTCCTAACTCTCGACTTTGTAGTTTCTGAGGACTCTTCCTCCGAAGAAACTTCCAGGGTCTCACTTACCCTCACCAGTGATTGCCAAACCTGGCTGCATGTGAAAATTATGTGGGAAGCTTTGGGAAACAGTTGATGCTCAGACTCTGACCCTGACCAAATCAACCAGAATCTATGGGCGAGGGACTCAGTCATCCTTTTTGTGTTTGTTTGGTTGTTTGTTTATTCTAAACCCCCCCCCCCCAGGCGATTCACATGCAGCCACAAGAACTGAGAATCCACCTAAATATGTGGCCAGCTCTGGCATGTCACAGCTCCTCACTGCTAACAAGTAATGCTCAGGGAGCTGCCTCTTCCCAGAGAGGGGATTCTTATTTATTTTTATTTTTTGCTATGACACCCCCACGAATTTGTAAATATTCCAAATCTGCATTGTGAACTGGAAGGTTTATGGTCTCTTGATTTCCCACTCAGTGTTGTGCTTGCAGGAAGCATTCAGTAAGTGTAAGTGTAATGAATCAGTAATCCTCTACCTATGTACAACACATTTTATACTGTACTTCCAACATGGTCTCATTTCGTTATCACAACTTAGAGAAGTAAGACTGGTCTGTTTTCCCTATTTACTAAATAAGGAAACTGAGACACACATGAAATGAACAAGATAAACACCAGAGTTGATGCTATTTTGCCAAGTTGCTGAGTCATCATCCCTTAGAACAGTTGTAGATATGATATTAATATAAAAGCCTTCCAGATTCTATGGGTAAACCAAAGTTTTCTCCATTGGTGTCCATTTCACACCCACCTAACTTTATATGCAAAGCAAATAGACTTTAACTTCTGAATTTTTTGAACTTTCCAGCTTTATTTAGTCAAACAAAACACTGTACTAGACCATGAGTCCCTTCTGAATGTTGGAATTTGTGTCTCCTGGAGGCACGGTGGAGTTGGGCACAGGCTTTTGAGAGAGCCAGATCTAGGTTTGAATCAGAAATCACAATGTGTTCACATATCTCCAATCATTAGCTTTATGATCTGAAATGGGTCATCTAACCTCTCTGATTCTCAGTTTTCTCATCTTTAAAATGGAGGCAATTACCTTGCCTTCAAAGGTATTATGAGTGAGATGAAAACTTGCATGCAGTCCCATGACACGGTCGAGGTTTTATTACATATTAATTTATTTCCTTTACATAAAGGATTTTTACATTAGGTTAATGGGAGTCTGCAACTTGTCCTTTTGTTGGTTTTTTACCAATTTTATGCCCCCTAGTGGTGGTAATGAGCGTAAGCATGACCACGAAAGTAGAGAACTATAAACTATCAAGTTTTGGGTATTTTGAAATTTGTGACTCAGTAGGGATTGCCTCGATGGTCAAGATTCTGCACTCAACCATGTGAAGTCTACCTCGCCAAAACATGAGATTGTTCATATCTCCTCTGTGCAACTATTTGATTAGGTAAAAAAATCTACTTGGTTTAATAATCATGATACAAAATTCCTTTGGAAGGAAAAATCAAATATTAAATCTGTCTGAGAATACTGTGAGCATTGAATGGTGGCTCTTTGTCCAAAGAACTGAGCCCATGTTTGATTTATAAATATCAATTGTGTTTCCCAAGGTAAAGATGGGCTGGTGAGTCATTATTGAAGCTTTCAGAGAGCACTGTTTGCACGCTAACCTCTATCATTCTCTTTCCTTCCAGGTTCACTACAAAGCACTTGAATGATGAATCGACTTCCAAACAGATTCGAGCGATGCTTCAGTAGAGCTCTGCTCAAAGAAGAGGATCTATGTGCTGACCTCAGAAGATGTATATGTTTACATAATTTAATACAGATTGATGTTAATACTTGTGTATTTACATAACCGTTTCCTTCTTGTCACCGAAATATATGGACCTTAATTTGTATCCTGACTGACTCAACCCAGCAGAGCATAAATTGACTTGAGAGCCTTACCTTTGATGTCTGAAACGAAAACCCCTTCTCCAAAGGCAAAATTTGGAGACTTTGATCTTTGCTACTGGAGTCCTTTAATGACACCTGTAACAATCAGAAATTCCTAATAGTTTGTAGTAGTGTTTTAATTCTAGGTGTGTTATCTCTCTGGGAATTATAGTTTGTAGAAATACAAAGTATTTGATTTCCTGTGTCGGCTCAGCTACAAGAAATGCAACTGCTATCCTGACAGAGGGAGAGAGGAATCCAAGAAAAATGCATGTGGAGAATCAAACCCAAGTGTCTTGAATTCAGCACGCCCCCTCTCTGTCCTCAGACTGCAAATCACACATGCAACTTTTCTGTTTCCACGTGTTTTATTAATCAGCATATTCCCTTTCTGTCTGTATTTATATACACCCCCAACTTTCCCTTTTAATTTTACAAGAGAAAAATCACCTGTATTCATCAGTTAGTGGGAGAACAACTGGAATAGATAAATGGATGTGCTGTTGCTGCTAGACTGATGAAGGTGGTCGTCTTGGAAGTGGGGGACAGGTTCACAGGGGGGTACCCAAGCAGCAGGACAGCCATCTCTCTGCTTCAGCCCTCACCCTCTGAGGACAGGAAAATGGAGCTCTGGCTGTGAAATTGTAGGTAAGTTTGCCAACCTTCCACATTCCTGTGGAGTGCTGGGTGTATGGCTCCTCCTAATAGGAGTCCTGTTCTCTGTAGATCATTTATATAGGAACAGAGGTCTAGGGTACTTCATTACCAGAAAACTAAAAGGAATTTAGAGAGGAAAAAAATCCATGTTTTCTGGTTCCCTGGTATTTAAAAGGTAGCTCCTTCCCAACCCCACTGCTAGCTTGCTACAGTAAAAAATCTCTGGTTTGGCACCTGGATTTACCCCTAGCTCTACTAGCGATTCATAATGTGATCTTGGGGAATTTGTTTAAGCTCTGTGAGTCTGAATGTCCCTATCTGTGTAATAGGCAGTTAAAACAGACAATCTTCAGGAGGTCTAAGAGCTGACAAAATGACTGACTCCACCCTTCTTCCTTAGTAAGTAGTCCAGTGAGCATCACCCCACCTTATCCTGTTGATTAACAATGTTACATGATCTGCAGTCTTTCTGTCTGTAGATCAGAGCTTAGTTAGAAAGGAATCTTGAAAATCTTCTATTCTGACCCCCAGTGAAAAAATAAGACCCAGAGGATATCGTCATACACGATGCCTTCTTGTGGGATTAAACCCCAGGATGCTTCACTCCTGACTCCATGCTCTTTTTTTTTTTTTTTTAACCATACGGCCTATGAACACACTCTATAAGATGGGACTTGACACTTTTAAATAAATTTCCAGTCTGGCCTATATTCTTACTTGCCTGTTTCCACTAGAATAAAAGAGTCATCCAGACAATTAGTGAATGATAATCCTGGAAGCTGGGTCTGGGCACATCAGGGTTTGGCATAATTTATAACATCCCAAGGAATGAGTTATAAGACGTCATTGCTTTCTGGACTTTAGTGTCAACTGATACTGCCTTGGGTCTCTAAGAAAAGGAGAGAAGTACTTGTTTTATTTTGTTTTAACAAAGAGATGCAGTCAAGGGGCAGAAAAGATTTTCTGGTCTATATCTAAACATCAGTCAACAGAGAAAGGAAAAACTCTTTTTCTTGGAGATTTTTAAGTTGAATAGGTACAGCTGCTTGGATGGAGGGTCTCTCATCAGAAAAGAAATATGCAAGATGGCTTTCAATACCTTTTCCAACCTAGAGATTTTTAAATCCTAGAGGAAGTCAGAAAATGTGGTCACAAAAGGTGAGCAAAATCATTAAATATTCAGCTAAGAAATGTTCTATTTGGCAGGCACGTGTTATGCTTAAGCAACGATTGTCAGGACTAGAAATACAGAAGCACACAATGTTTTTTGGGTCCATTTTTTTTCCTTTATCAGGTGAGGAGATGAAGGATTGAAGAAAGGAAAAGGACTTGCCAGCCACCAAAGGGCTCTTGAGGCACTTGAACCTAAGACGTGTCTATACCACAGCTGCCTCTCAGCTGTCTAAAGAAGAAAATGTTAGGGATTATCTGTCAAATTATATTTATCTCAGAGTAAACAGTTGAGCACATTTATAATTTTAGAGTTTCTGTCAAATGGGATCAAGCATGTGGGAAGGGCTGCTGGCCTGCCCTAATTTAGCCAGACCACCTTGTCTTGAAGCCAAGATTCAGCAGTACATGGATTCTGAAAAGCCCAGGGTCTGAATTGTTGCCTCTGATTATTGGGAGGACAGGTTAACTGAATGTCTGTGATCACTAACAGTTGATGGGCCTTGGGTCCACACCAGAGCTATTGTGGGAGACAAATTCTTTTAACAGAATGTCCCCCAGGCATCAGGAATCCTTGAACAATCACAGGGTTTTTTTCTTCTGTGCTGCATGCACATGTGTCCAAGACTTATGGGTGGTTTAGGGGAAAGTACTAGCCACAGTGTTGACGTCATTGTTAACTATATTTCATATTTGAGGTCTCATTGTTTTCAAATAAACAGTGTTTTCCATGGCTCAGATATTTATTTTTGGGCAAACAACAAGGTAAAAATTATGTTTCTCAGATACATTGCTACTTGGGGATTATAACTCTGTTCTCAGAAACCTTTCATATGCCACCAAGAATTGGTAGTAAAAAACAAGTGAAAATGAATGTTTTGAACTGTGCTGACCCAATAGGGCTGGAGTATTAACAACCAGAAGGAAAGATTTGAATATTACCTTTTAACTATGAGTTAATATCATGTTTGATCAACATTTGCTCCCAGTCATCACCATGATATCAAGACATTAATGATAAACTGAGGTTTCTGATGCATAATCACATTTAAGTAAAAATAATTTCATACTATCCCAAAAGAAAAATAAATCTTATGCAATGTTAGGATTCAATTGTGCAGTAGAATTCAGAGACTTCTTATTCAGTTTTGTATTCTAGACAGCTACAATTTTGTAATGTTAATAATAAACCCTGAAATTTTATCTTAAAGAACCCAAAACTTTGGAACCCCATTTTCCCACTACATCTATTAACATAAAGGCTGTTGCATATACCAAGTCACTTTAAAAATTGTCATATGTTGTTTGCTGAAGTCACTGTAATTTTTTTTTTTTTTTTTGCTTGCTTTGCCTTTTTTTGTACAGAAGTTTTAAGTGTGAAATGAAAATTAAAGTTTGGTACATATATTTAAAAGTACACCTCTATTTTATATGATGCTCCAGGTTGCGAAGGTGATAAGCACATGATTATGAGTTCACATAGATATTTGCTAAACACCTGCTCTGAGGAAACTGCACCAGCTGCCTCTCTACACCTCAGTGTCTTCAAAAACAACATGTAATGCACAAAATGTGCTCCTCTTAGTACCAGCTGCCTCTTGTTCATTTCAGCATTTTCTTTTTTATAATGAACACTTTATTGTTTAAAAAAAAAGGCAGAAAATGAACAGAGACATGAGTGATATCTAGAGATGCATGAGACCTACTTGTCCAGTGATTCTAAGAAACCCTAATAAATGATCTTTTATTCCTTTTTTAGTGCAGTAGCACTTTATAGATTTGGCAAGATCAGCAAATAACCTATTCCATGTAAGTACATTTTTCAGACAATATAAGCACTGAAATAGTTCTTTTATCCAACAATGGAGCCTTCCTAGAGCATTACTTTTAATCCCTGCACTTCTGAAGCTGATCACCTGAGACCTAATTGTGTGTGTTCTCAATGGCTCAGAATCTCCAAGAGAGACTTTCCATGATGCTGTGTGCAAAAGACAAGGGCACAATCATTAGTATTATTTTGGGGCACAAAGATAAATGAAGTGGGAATTTCTGCAAACTGACGAATGGATAAGTTTAAATAACCACAAGCTAGAAGGAGAGAAATGCAAAGAGGCTAAAGACTGTGTGTGTGTGTATGTGCATGCACCAAACTAAAGGGTGTGGAGAGTCAAAAGTCATGAAAAAATGAGGAATAGGGTGGACCCCCCAAATTGGAATTTACTTACACAAAATCATGTATTATTTTAACATATCTAAATTTTAGTCACCTTCAAAGTACTCTCCATTTGATTCAATACACCTATCAAGATGCTTTTTTCTCTGTCAAAACAGGTTTTGAACTAGTTAATTTTGATGCCTTTAGTGCTTCTGTCATTTTTTATTTCACATCTTCCACATCAGCAAAACGTTTCCCTTTGAGGACTGTTTTTCATCCAGAAACAAAAACGTTAGTCAGGGTGAGATCAGGTCAATAGGGAGGGTGGAGGACAGGGTCATGCTGTTTTTGGTTAAAAAAAAAAAAAAAACACAAAAAACTGCTGAACACTCAGCCCAGTGTGGGCAGGTGCATTCATCATGAAATGGGCAAATATTGAAATAATCTCCAAAAAAAGTTCGCTGAAGCTAAACGCAGCCTCTCAGAACAACATTAGCTGGCACGCTGATGCAGATTGGTTCATAGAACACTTACCTAATGGGGAAAGCCTACACTTCAAGAAGCATGCCCACCAAAAGATAACTTGGGGTTTTTTGTTGTTGTTATTTCCCCTCCTCATATGTGTGATTGTCAAGAGGAATACAGGTAGTGGGGATGTGTGATTCAGAATACCCTTCATGTCAGCCATAATGTTGGCTGTTACTCAGGGTTGTCACGAAAGAATGAGGATGAGGAGCTCTGTGAATATTTGCAATCTGTATTCACACCTGATTTAATCCTTTGGCTGATCAGCGAATAGATAGAATTTCTAGGTGTTTGCTGTTTGAAAGGTTTACATTATATTTGGTTATCACAACTATAGTGACTACTTACATAATGCTAAATAATATTGGTCAATTTGTTTAAGCTACTCATATTCATTAATACATTAGTCCATCCAGTACCCAAATCCTGATGGAGACTAGTCTAAAACTGCACTAACATCACCCTCATGGTAGCTCTTACACAGTAAATAGAGGTCTTGGCTGCTCTGCTTCATTCAAAAATCAAACTCCAATGAAGAGTAATTTTCTGCCCTGGTCCCCTCAAGTACCTGAGGTTGTATCTTTGGTGCTCTAGTCCTTCCCTTGCTTGTTTCTCTTTCACAAAAGTCTGGAAATCCTGGAACTTGTGTAAATGAATGTTCTGAAAATATGTTCTGCAAAATGCCTTCATTAGAATGCCATTTGAAATTGTGCTGGCTGGGTGTGGTGACTCAAACCTGTAATCCCAGCACTTTGGGAGGCCTAAGTGAAAGGGTTGCCTCAGCCCATGGATTCAAGACTAGCAACTTGGCAAGACCTCATTTCTACAGCAAATCAAAAAATTAGCCAGCCATGGCAGTGTGCACCTGTAGTTCCAGCTACTTAGAAGGCTAAGGTGAAAGGATTGCCTGAGCCCAGCAGGTCGATGCTGGGGTGACCATGAGTGTGCCACTGCACTCCAGCCTGGGTGACAGAGTGAGACTCCAACTCAAAAAAAAAAAAATTGTGCTATGTAGTATTTTAGATCAATCTTAGAATTCAGTTTAAAAGTGTGTCTTTGGGGGACAGTTTTTGAAAACTCACTTAAGAAAGTCTTTTCTCTATGAAATCTTCTTTTCTCCTATCAAATCTCACACTTCCAGATTCTTCCTGCTGTTGGCCTGAATTTTATGTTTATTTTTAAATTTTCCTAGTTTGCGCCATGGCAGGCTTTGTTTCAAGTTGGAAGCTATATTTTACTAAGCATTTCTAAACCACCTGAGAGCTAAAGTTATCAGTGCTGTGATTTGAGGACCAGAAGTTTTAGGATGCTCCTTAAACCTTGAAGAACATGCTTCTAGAACATGTCAGGAGAACTTGGGGGAGGCTATTACATAATTTTCTTCCAAATGTGGACATATTTGAAAAGATAGTTTTCCTCTTGCATGAGAGAAATAATACACTCACTACACGGAAAAGCAAGGGTGCCTGTGTTATATGCAAAGGCAGGTGGAAAGAATGAGACAGACCATTCATGGAAAGGATAGAAAGCATTAGGCTAAGTCAGGTGAGGATTTGTTATCTCCCAAATGTGCCCTGGACATTATTACTCCCATGACACTATCATTAATGCACATTTTCTTCCTCTCCATCTGTTTGAAGTCCACCTATACATAAAGGCTTAGGTCATTCTCCACTTTCTCCATGAAGTCTTTCCTAACTACCTCACCCATGCTAATACTCTCTCCTGGATCCCTAATGCATTTAACTTATTTTATACTAAACATAGGCCACTTTACAGCACTTGAGATATATTTGTTTTTTTCCACCAGATTTTGAATTCTTCAGGGCACAAAATGAGTACCTTAGAAGGATGAGCTCAATATAGGCCAGTGGCTAATAGAAACTACCTGCAAAGGGTAAATTTCAGGGTCCTGACACTTGGTGTACTGAAATGAAACTTTGAAGATTAATTTCTACAGCTCACCAGCCATCCACAGTAATAAATTATCTGCTTCCTTGGATGTTCAATTGTACTCCTGGAAAAAATATTTACGTACCTGTCAGGATGTTTTTTACCTCTGTGAACACAGCTTGCAGCTTGTGGCTGATCTGCCAGGAGTCCAGATGAGAAATCAGGCAGTTGTCTTGATCAGACGTCAGAGTTAGCTAGTCCTGGAAAAGTCAGGCAGCCAGCATGCTAGTCAGTTGATGTCTTGGGACATTAGCCTGGGACAAGGCTGCTATTCTGTCAGAGAGTTTGACACACTCAGAGACAGAAAGGCACCAGAAGCAGAGTTTATGACAACTAGACAAATCGATTCAGCACCTCGGACAGCAACCTAGCCATCTTGTCTTAATGGTGCACTGTCCTTTCTCCTAGAATACGTTCCTTCCAACAATAAAGTTTCTAGGTAACTGCAAAGGCATTTTTCCTCTTCCAGGGACTTCTGGCTATCACATAAAATAGGTAGACAGTAGTTTTGGTAACCTCTAAGGATTATCTTGGGTTTTCATATTTATATTGTGTTTAGATTCAAGCCAAACTTACAGGCATGACTATTCATTCTTTAGCCCCACACCTCTGTTCCTAATACACTTCTTTCTAAAGGGCTCTCAGAATAAATCAGTCTGTTTTGTTTCATTTTCTCCAACCACCATTATCTCCTCCTTAAAAGATCACCCAGCTAACTACGCACCTGTAGTTCCAGCTACTTGGAAGGCTGAGGAGGAAGCATCACCGGAGCCCAGCAGGAGGACGCTGGGGTGGCCATGAGTGTGCCACAGCACTCTAACCTGAATGACAGAGTGAGACTCCAACTAAAAAAACAAATCGCCCAGCCTTTACTGTACCTCTTCCAACCCACTCTCCACACAGCCCACACTCAGCTTTTGGTGATGTATGTATATCTGATCACATTAGTGTCTTTAGCAAGTTTTTTGAAATATGTTCTCAGATATGTTAACTGGTGTTCAGTGTGTGGGGGGGTGTCGATTTTCAAGTATCTGTGAAACAAAGTTAAAGAGATTATTTTACTTACCTATTATTTTTACTAGCAGATTTTTAATATGTTATAACTTCCATGGGAGGGTAGACCATATGATAATACACATCAATTCTTAAATATGTTTGTCTACACTCTCATATTTTACAGAACATTTATAATTTCTCATGGACATTAGCAGTCCATTAGAAACACTACTTAGCTAATCCAAATTTCTTAAGATGCAAGACTTTCCAGGAGATAAATGAAATAAACTGTACTTAATTCTTTTATCTTACTTACCTTCTATCAAACATACATCCCATTTTCCCATGTTACAAGACTGGTCACAGTTTTCTAACATATCGATTTTTTTATATTTATGTATTGCTAATAATGCTGCCCCTTCTTCCTGAAATTCTATTTCCTCTCATCTGCCTTGTAAAATTTTATTTATCCCTCAAGACATTGCTCAAATGATTTTTTTTCTTTTTATAACCTTTCTGTACCCTACCCAAACTAATCTAGTTACTCTTTTCTGTGGTTTCCATCTCTCTCTACCCTCTCCTTTTATTTATATATATATATATATATATATAGAGAGAGAGAGAGAGAGAGAGAGAGAGATGTATGGTGAGATGTATTGTATGGAGAGATGGCAGAATTAAACACATAAGGAAATGAACACAAAAATGCAAAACATGATAAATATCTAGATATATAATATTATATATGGCTATTTATCATATATTTTTTATTAAGTGTT